GTGTAACACACTGGATGAGGACACTGTGTAACACACTGGATGAGGACTGTCAGCATGTAACATGCTGCACTTGAACGAGGAACACGGTTACATTATTTGGGGACTAAGCGAGTCACATTAACTGGTGAAATGATTAGACAGGGTGCAATGTTTAAGGTGCATCCAGGAAAAGTCTTTGTGTCGGTGTTAAGATAATCTGAGAAGAGATTAGGCTGTATTGACTGAATCCCAGAGATTGAAGCTGGTGAAGTTTCAGTGGGTGAACGTTTTGGGGCATAGCGACCACACCTCTGTAAGTTTCAAAGTCGTTATTGAAATGGATAAAAATACTGAAGAAGGTAAGTGTCAAAATTGGGGTAAGGCCAATTTCAAGATCATTAGACAGGATCTGCCAAACATAGACTGGGAGCAGCTACTTGCAGGTAAATCTACATTTGGAAAGTGGGAGCCTTTTGAAAGGGGTACAGTGAAAATTCAGGGACAGCATACTCCTCCGAGAATGAAGGGTCAGGGCAGCAAATCCAGGGAGCCTGGAAAGTCCAGGGACATTGAGAGTTTGATAAAGAAATAGAAGGGAGCATATGTCATGTACAGAGCATTTAAAAGAGCAATGGCATTTCATGAGTATTGGGAGCGTAGGATAATTAGGAGGGCAAAAAGAGGTCATGAAATATCTTTGGCAGATGGGATTACAGAAAACCCCAAGGCTTTCATAAGTATATCCAGAGTAAGAGGATTATCAGGGAGAGGGTGCAACCCATTAACAACCAATGAGATGAGGTCTGAAATGAATATTTCTCATCTGTATTCACAGAGGGACAATAAGGTTCTACAACATGCTAACATTAATAAGGAGGAGGTATTTCATATTTTAGCAGGCATCCCAGGGCCTGGTCAGCTGAATCCCAGGTGCTCTGGGAGGCACGCAAGGAGATCACTGGGGCTCTGGGGGAGATATTTCAGTTTCCCCTCATTTATTTATTCACTGGATGAGGGCGTTTTTGGCCAGGCAGCATTTATTGCCCATCCCTATTTGCCCAGAGGGCAGTTTAGAGTCAAACACACTGCTGTGGGTCTGGAATCACATGTAGGCCAGACCAGGTAAAGATGGCAGTTCCTTCCCTAAAGGGCATGAATGAACCAGATGGGTTTTTCCAACAATTGGCAACGGATTCACGGTCATCACTGGGTTCTTAGTTTCAGATATTTTGTTGAATTCAAATTCCACCATCGGCCCTGGTGGGATTCAAACCTGCATCCCCAGAACGTTATCTTGGTCTCTGGATTAACAATCCAGCGATAACACCACTAGGCCATCACCTCCCTGCATACTTCACTAGCCACAGGTGAAGTGCCGGATGACTGGAGGAGAGGGAATGTGTTCCATTTGTTCAAGAAGGGCAGCAGGGATAACTGCTCTTCCCAAGAACTAAAGAAACTTTGGAGAGTCATGAACAAAGCGAGTCCATCCACTGACTCCATCTCTACTTCCCACTGCCTCGGGAAAGCCACCAACATAATCAAAGACCCCTCTCACCCTAGTCGTACACTCTTCCACCCTCTTCCATCTAGCAGACAATACAAAGGTTTGAAAACACTGGCCAAAAGACTAAAGAACAGCTTCTTCCCCACTGCAATAGACTTTTGAATGGGCCTCTCTAATGTTAATTCTGATCTCTCTCTCTCCACACCTTCTCTGCAGCTGTAACACTGTATTCTGCATCCTGTTCTGCCCCCTGATGCACTTTGTATGGTACAATCTGCCTGTATCGCACACAATTTTTCACTGTATCTCAGTACGTGATGAAAACAAATCAAATCGAATCAAAATCAAAAGACGAATTAGACTCTCATCAGTGTGGCCACAGAATCTCCTGTTTACCCCCTCCCAACCCAACTATCGAGTCTCCTATCACTAAGGTCCTATTTGCCTTTATCCTTTCCCGCTGTGCCCCAGAGCCAGTCGTAGTGCCACTGGTGCTTTTCCCTGAATGGTCATCCTCCCCAACAGTGTCTAAAACAGTATACTTGTTTTTGTGGAGAATGGCCTGCATTCTCTGCCTACTCCCTTTGCCTTTCCTGGTGGTCATCCAGCTACTCTCTGCCTGTATCTTAAGTGTGGCTACCTCACTAAAACTCCTATCTAGGACACGCTCAGCATCTCAGATGATCCTGAGTGCATCCAGCTCCAGCTCCCGCTCCCTAACACGGTCTCCCAGGAGCTGCAGCTGGATGCACTTCCCACAGGAGTAGTCATCAGGGACAGTGGAGGTCTCCCCGAGCTCCCACATCCTGCAGGAGGGGCATGCCACTACCCTAAATGCCATCTCAATTACTCTAAGACTCAAGAGAAAAGTTAAAATGACTTTACGTGCACTTTTTGCTGATCCACTGCTCACTGAAGCTTCTT